GTCGGAGACTTATCACTTGGGTGGGCTGGGGCAGGGGCTGGGGGCGGGAGTTGCGAGCAGAAAGTGTGCAGCGGGGAGCCAGATCTTGCACTCTAATGTGGAGGGAGAAACTGAGGCACGGAGGAGTTTAGGGAGGAAAGCAGCCCGACATCTCCCCCAGCCCACCTCTACCAGAGTAAGGGCAGAACAGCCCAGGCCAGCGTTTGTCCCTGACAGCCGAGCCCCGGAGAGTCGATGAGGAGCCTGTGTGAACACTTCTCAGGCCTGAGCATCCCTGTGGCCCCACATGACAGCCACCAGTGACCCAACCTACCTACCTACTGAACAGTGTGATTCTAGGAGAATACACGGATCCATTCTCCTCTGTCTATATCCTTCCACCCTCTGCCCTTCCTACTCTGCAAAGGTAACCGGCTTCATAATTTGGGGTGTTCCTTCCAGACCTTACCTACACCCATGTAGTCATATACACGTGTACCCACAGAAAGTATGTAAGCTGCATAGTCATGTTGTGGGTGGATGTTTAATAGAAATGGTATAATCCATCCACATCATTCTGCAACTTGCCCCCCCCTCCAGTTATCATTTCCTGGAAAGTTATTTGTGTTGCTGCATATAAATCTAGGTTATTTATTTTAGCTGCTGCACAGTTTTCAACCATGGGTTTGCCTACTGATGGGCATTTAGGTCATAAAAATTAGGGAACTGTTTCTTATTTCAGCCTCTTCTGTAAACTGACATCTCTGGGTTAAGAAAGATTTCTTCGCACTTTGTCCCAAACTAACTTCACAGAATCTGGATTTGGGGGACCAGGTCCCCCTCCATTCTCCATCATGCATGCATGGGCACAAGGTGCCCATGCATGCTCAGGTGCACACATGCACACTTCTATCCTGTCTATCTGTGAACAAGGACAAATACTACATCCCTTTATCTGCGGTCTCTGCTGAGCCCAAAGGCCTGGGATTGAGCCAGGCCATAAGCTCTGCCTGTCCAGGCCCCAATGGGGAGAATTCCCACAAGGGGCCGTGTCCAGAGGTTCCCTCTAGATACCCTCAATGCTGTCTCCACTCTCCAATAGGACACAGAAGGAGTTAGGAACCATGCCTAACACACTGAAGTGTCCAGGGTCCCATTTGTGTACCACAAACTTTCCAGGACCAGGCTGTGCTGTGAGAGGGTGCTTGCTCTAGAACATGGGCCAGGAGCATCCAAAGTTTGGTGGAAGGCCTGATGACAGCCAGTTGGGGAAAAGTTGGAATCAGAGCCACTTGCGTTACAGTCCCAGCTCCACCTCTTCCCAGCTTGGGCAATAATTCCCTTTCTCCGGCTGAGCCACAGTTTCACATCGGTAACATGATGATGACAGTGCAACTTCCCAAAAGTGTTGAGTGGGTCAGTGGGATGATGAAACCAAACGCTTAGATCATTGTCAGCACTTGGAAAGCAGGGGGGTCTTGTCTCGGATGGAGGAGACCCAGAGATGGCCTCAGGCTGGGGGTGACACTCAGGACCACCATTTGGGACCTCGTTCACATCCCAAGTGCAGGTCAGGGACTCCCAGTGCTGTGTGGGACTGAGGATGAGATTTCTGCTTGTGAGAGCCAAGCTCAGCTCACAGCGGGGTCCAGAAGTATCATGGCACCTACAAAGGACCTACTGTGCACCTGGCCCTGAGCTAAGATGCAGAAATGAACTGAGCTGAGATCCCCAGCTTTGAGACACAGGAGACAGCAGAAGTCACAAAGTGTGCCTGTGTGCAGCTTTTGTAAGGCCCTCGCTCCTTTTTGTTTTATTTTGTTTTATTTTATTTTATTTTATTTTATTGAAGTATAGTCAGTTTACTATGTGTCATTTTCTGGTGTATAGCATGATGTTTCAGTCATACATGTACATACATATATTTGTTTTCATATTCCTTTTTCATTATAGGTTACTACAAAATAGCAAATACAGTTCCCTGTGCTATACAGTGGAAACTTGTTTATCACCCATGCTCCTTTGTAAATTTTAGCTTTCTCCCAAGATTTTAAAAAGTAGGCAATGTCACATAAAACTTCATTATTTCTGGGTCCTCTGGAGAAAAGAGGATCAGAAAAGCTGACAGCTCTGGCCTCATCATTCAGCTGCCCCCTGGGATGGGGCAGGCCCCCTGGGATGACACAGTCCCCACCTGGCCCAGCCCTCACTCCTAAAGAGCAGCGTAATATAAAAGTTAATGACACAGACTCCACGCCAGCTTCTGCCACCCAGCTCTGGCACGGATTAGCTGTGTGGTCTAAAGCAAATGATTTAACGTTTTTGTGTTTGGGTTTCCTTGTATGGAAAATGGGGATAATAAGTAGCACTTGCTTCAAAGGGTTATTTCAGGCATTAAATGAACCAACAAACCTAAACCTCTCACAGCAGCGCCTGGTGCATGGACTATACAAAGTGTTGATGGTGCTGTTGCTGATGGTGTATAAGCTGCCGGGTCCTGGTAACTGCAATTTATATTCCAAATTGTACTCCATATAAAATGCTGCGGAAACACAAGTGAAGGAGGAAAGAAGGAAGGAAAACAACACTTTGAGCACCTTCTTAAGAGAAGATGCTGCAATCCTGGATGTTTTTTCTGCCTGAGGGCAGGAAGAGGGCAACATTGCAAGGAAAGTGACAAAAAGGAGGGGACTTCTAAGGTGGGTTTTGAAGGATGAATAGGAGTTTCTCTGGAGCAATAGAGTAAGAAAGACATGTCGACACAGAGGAAACAGCCTTTCCAAAGGCCTGGGGGGGCATGACCAGATGAAACAGTGGTCAAATGTGACTTCAGGTAAAGTGTCACAGGGTGTGGGGAGAGGCAGGAAGACTGGGGAGCCAGAAAAGGACCTTGAGATCATGATGGGACTTGTGGCAGGAAAGGGGATGAACGTAGTTCTTTTTTTTTTGAGGGGATGGTAATTGGGTTTATTTGTTTAGTTTTTAATGGAGGTACTAGTATATGGAATCCAGGATTTCGTGCATGCTGAGCACACACTCTACCACTGAGCTATACCCTCCCCCCATTTCTTGTGTATCTACTGTGTACAGATGCTCTTATAATCACCACCCTTCTCATCCTCATAATGCCCTGGGAATCAGGTTTTTGGTCCCTCACTTACTGATGAGTTAGACGCTCAGGAAGGGTAAGCCACTTGCTCAAAAGCTCACACAGTATGTCAGTGGCAGAACTGGAATCAGACCCCCAGATCTGTCTGATTCTGAAGCCTGTGCACCCTCTCTGAGCCTCAGTTTTCTTGCTGTAAAGTGGAGATAGTATTAGAAGAACCTACTGCGTGGGCTTGGTGTGAGGACGAGATGAGAGTGAACACACGGCCCTCCGCACGGTACCCAGCACAGAGCGGTTGCTGTTGTTTTGATTGAATGAGACCTGTGTTCCTCCAGGCCTCTCACCCTAACTCACACCACTGCCCAGCCTGAGATGGGGGTCCCCAGGGAGTGACTGTCCTGGGCCAGTGGGTCTCAAGGTGTGGTCCCTGAAAGCATCACCCAGAGCCTTTTTCAAAATACAGATTCTCAGACCCTACCTACTGAATCAGGGGGTGGGCCCAGCAACTTGGAATTTAACAAGCCCCCCAGGGCAGAATCACTGGCCTAGAGGAAAATATCAAATGAAATCCTCTCTGGCCACTTGAGTCTATCTCCCACTAGAGGAGTGGGTGCATGGTGAGAATTCAGTCCTCCCGAAGGCCAAAGCTGGAGGAGATGTCCTAAGACAAACGTATGTTCCCCTCCGCACAGGAGGCTGGAAAGAACCGCTTCTTTACTGATAGGAAAGTTGCCCAAGGGGCCTAGTGGGGCTTTTATTCTTTAGAACTGGCTCTCCTTCCTAGGTTCGCTGCCTCCAGTGGGCCCACCTTGATGACCTGGTGCAAGATTTGTCTTTCAGAAGGAGCTGTTTCCTAGTAAGGGTGCCCCAGGCGACGAGGACGTGTCCCCACCTCCTGATAAAAGCCTATGATTCGGGACTCTGTGCCTGGGGGCCCTTGTGGACAGGCTTTGAGAACACGTGAGCAGTAGAAAAATGATCCCAACTCCGCAGCGAGGAACGTTAAGGAGGCCCCAGGTGAAGTGATAAGGCGGTAAGCGCAGCCTGGGGACGGTCATATCTTGCAGACGACCTCCAGTTGAGAAGCAGGCCCCACTCCGCGCATCTTCTTCAAAGCGCTGATGAGGAATGGGGCAGTGGAACAGTGGAAGCTCCTGAGTGGAAGCGTGGGCCTTGCTTCAAAGATAAGAGTTGCTGGGCGGGGGGCTGGATATAGCTCGGTGGTAGAGAGCGTGCTTAGCATGGGTCCTGGGTTCAACTCCAAGTCCCTCTATTAAAAAATATAATAAAAATAATTTTTTTAATTAAAAAAATGATAATAGTTGCTAAGTCTGGGGAAAGGTATAGCTCAGTGGTAGAGTGTGTGCTTAGCATGCACGAGGTCCTGGGTTCAATCCCCAGTACCTCCATTTAAAATAAATAAATAAATCTAATTACCCACCCCCACAAACAAACAAACAAAAAAAACTGGAAAAAAAGGTTCTAAATCTGTCTACCTAAAAATTAATATTTTCTGCGTGACCAAAACAAACAAAACTCTGTAAGCCCAGGCATGTCAAACAAGTAAACGTATTTGCCATTTTTATGACAAAGAGAGCTGTTGTGAATTAAAGACCAACTACCTGATCCGAAAAAGAAAAAAGAAAAAAAAGAAAAAAGAAAGCAAAGGGCATAATTCAGCTATTTACATAAAAAGGAATACAAATTGAAATTCGAACACATAAAAAGATGCTCACCTTTTTTTTATCTGTTTGGAAACAGAAATGCACAACAAAACCACACTGATTCTGTTTTCTACCTGCCAGATCTCTGGGTAACACTCAGGCTGGTGGAGGAACCAGGACTCTCAATTCCACTGATGGGAGCTCGAATCCGGGCAGCCTCAGGGGGAGTTAAGAAAACTCAATATTTAAGATGCCTGTACAAAAGGAGGGGGTAGGTATAGCTCAGCGGTGCAGCGTTTGCGTAGCGTGCACGAGGTCCTGGGTTCAATCCCCAGCACCTCCATTAAATAAATAGTAAGATGCCCTAATAAGATGCCCATACCTTATGTCTCTGCCGCTCCACCTCTAGGAATTTATCCAGTGGATTTCCTACCACTGGGCACATCATGTTAGAACAAAGATAGTCAGCGTTGTGTGGGAGTAAATGATTTGGAAACTATCTAAACATCCATCAGAAGGGAACTGAGTCCTGTACGTGTCGAGACAGCCACACAAGAGAATATGATGCAGCCGTTCAAAACAAAGCAGTGGCTCCTCTAGAATAAGTGTGAAACCATCTCCCAGATGTATAATTAAAAGAAAAATGCAAGGTATGGAACAGTGTATAATATTCTATACCACCTGTGTGTGTGTTTTTAAAAGGGACTCCATGTGTCCATAGATGTATGTATTTGCACATGCAGGTTAAAATCTGGAGGACACCCTGGAAGCCGGTGATACTGGTTGACTTTGGGGAGAGAAACTGATAGGTGAAAAGGAGACTTACTTTTCTTTTCATCCAAGTTGGTATTCTTGAGATGTTTCTTCCCTCGTACATTGTTGTAGTATTCTTAGAAAATCTAGCCACATGTATCTTCTTTCTCCTTATTTAAAACAAGCATGACACTGGAGATAAGGTTAATTCCCCTTTTGAATACTGCCCAAATTATATAATTTGCTTTCAATTAAAAAAGAATTAAGTATTTTAAGTAGGGCCTTTATCACAAAAGAACAAATATTGTATGATTCCACTTACATGAGGTACCTAGGAAAGGCAAATTCAGAGAGACAGTGGAATAGAGGTTACCAGGGGCTGAGGGGGAGGGTGAATGGGGAGTTAGTGTTTAATGGGTTCAGAGTTGCCTTCTGTTTGGGATGATGAAAAACTTCTGAAGATGGATAGCGGTGACAGTTGCACAACAATGTGAAAGTACTTAATGTCACTGAAGGGTACACCTGAAAATGGTTAAAATGGTCAATTTTATGTTGTATGTTTTGCCACTGTGAAAAAATTTAGAGATGACTCAAAAAAAAACTGTAGGGGCTTTGATATCAGATGGCTTGAGTTCTGGTCCTTGATGCCACCATTCCTTAGCTGTTGTGAACTTGATCAAGTGTGTGTACTTCTTTAAGCCTCAGTTTTCTCACCTGCAAAGTGGGGCTGTCAGAGAGCGCCTGGTGCACAGGAATCCTGCAGGGATTAAATGACTTTATCCATACAAAGTGCTTGCTCTGCATCTCTGGAACCATTGTAGGAAGTCAGGTTTAGGAGAATAGAAAGGCCATTGGACCAAATATTAAGACCAGCAGATTCGGGTGGAGTGAGTTTATACAGAGAGAGTTTATGCCAGCACCGTCTATATTTTTGTATCACTTTGTACTTGCAAAAAAAATTTTTAATGCATTTCCATAATGTAAAATTCCAGAATGTAGAGTCAGACAAAATCATCTTGGCTTGTGGGAATCTACCAAAGATGCAGCAATTCTTAACCTGTGGCCTCCTAACCTACAAGAGATCTGAATCCTGGCTCTGCCACTGATTAGCTGTGTGACCTTGAGCAAGTTACTTACCCTCTCTGTGCTTCGGTTTTCTCATCTGTAAACTGGAGGTGATAATAATTCTCACCTAATTAGGGATGTCATGAAGATTAAAGGTGTCAAGTGCTTAGAGCAGACGCTGCCCCACAGTAAGTCCTAAGTAAATGTTAAGAAAATAAATAAACTTGAAATAAGCCTGAAAGTCTTAGCACTTTTGTTTTTAAAAAAGGGATTTATTTTTTACACTGAGGAAATGGAGTCCTAGCCAAGATACAGTCATGGGGCTGAGCTGCATCTGGAGGAGTTCCTTGGAATGGGTTGGGGAGGCCAAGATAAGATAAGATAAGGGGAGCACAGGTGATGAGGGGTGGGGCAGTAAGAGGCTCCAAGGGGTTCAGGGATTTTCCCAGGGAGCCCCACAGTGATAACAACAGAACCCAGATTCAGCCTTAGCTTTCTCCTCCCCAGTGCCTCCCTGCCAGGGAGAGTCTGGAAAATCAGAGGACTAGGGAGTTGGGGGCCCTATGACAAACACGGCCCTTTCCTTGCAGACCTCTGGGACAACCCAGGCAGCCTTGCTTCCTCCTGTTGTGTCGGGGAGCTCACTCCCAAGCCGAGGTCAGGAAGGAAGGCTAAGACCTGAGGAGCCTGGCACATCCTCCGTCAGGAGGGGCACTGAACCGGCTCTATTAAGCAGGAGCTGGATTGCAACCTCCCAGAACAAGCTGATTCCTGAAATTCCACTCTCACCTGGGTCTGTGTGTGGAGTTTGTTGATTTTCCTGGTTGATAGGACCCACCCCCCCCCCGACCCCAGGAGGGATCACCTTTGTCCTTTCTCAGCGGTTGGTTCCGCAGTGGGGAGTTGGACAGAGGCTTTGGTTGGTGAGAGAGACCACAAAGAACCCGTGGGGTCTGAGGCTGTGGACCTTAGAAGGACTGTTTTAGAGACCGAGGGGGATGTAAAACGCTTAGACGTGTGCTGGGCACATGTCAGTTCCTTCCCAATGGAAGGAGGGGCCAGTTACTGGGTCTGGGGAGTCCTGGGTTCCTGCAGGCTGCTTGGAGAGACCATTGCTGTCCTCAGAGTGTTACTGCCAAGGTTTAAGTGTTAACACCCTCTAGACTCCTTAATTCTCTTCTTTGGACACCCCATTTATGAACGGTTAAGAGTTTGGGGGTCAGACAGGCTGGCGCTGGAGCTCAGCTCTTTGTGACCTTCGCTTAGGTTAACCTCTAAGCCCCAGCCCTGGCCTGTGGATTAGGGGACAATGGTACCTCCTGCAGGAGCGTTAAGTGAGCAAGCCCCTTAGCCCTGTGGCCGGCAGGTAATTGACACCCCTCCCCCATTCACCGGCCCCACCCACCCTTCTTTCTGCTCTGATTTACTCCAGATATGCTGCTTCAAGAAGGGATGAGGGTGGGGCAGTGGGAGGATAGTCCTGGGCTGAACACACTGAAACACCTGTAGAATTCAGGGAAAGTTGAAAGATCAGAATCAGTCTGGGTGTGTGTGTCGAGGGAGGGGTGACAGTCAAGAGGAGGAGGGTGGACTGGTTGGTTGCAGCTTGCTGGCTGTTGGAGCAGGAGCCGGTCTGGTCCTCACCCCTCCCTGACCCTTCTGCCATCAGCTGACAGTGGGTGGCAGCCTGGTCACGGGACGACCCGCCCATTGGGCAGATCTGCCCTGACCCCAGATGGCAGAACCTGGAGGAGCAAGGCGGGAGAAGCGGTGGTCAGACACATTTCCCAGCTTTGGGGAATATTTGGGGAGTGTTTCCTGCGGGCTTTAAACTTCTAGAGGGTCAGAGTTTGTCTGTTCTGTTCACTGCGTCACTGCTGCAGCCCCAGCTCCCCTTAGACGCTCAGTGAATATTGGTTGAGTGAATGAATAACAGATGGGTAGATAGATGGATGGATAGATGGATGGATAGTGCCAGCAGTGGGCGAGGCACTGGAGATACAGCGATGAACAAGCCATGTCTCCCAGCCCCCAGGAGATTCCTTGGCCCCTCCACCTCACCCCTTGACCCCCTCTACATCCTCACCCCACCTCCTGAGCTCCCCCAGTGGCCCACCAATGTCTGGGCCTAAGTTAGGTGGGGCTGTGTTCCCGTTGGATCTTAGGATCTAGTTGACTAAAAACCCACCCTGCAACCCCTCGCTGCCGTCAGACAGCTCCGAAAAGCCTCTCGCTCACTCCAGCAGGTGTGGCCCCTCTGGGAACCATGTCGTTTTGCTTGCCTTGTGCACAGGGATGAACCGACTTCAGTTTCTCCCAACACAAGGTGTCGTTTGTCAGATAAATGTTGATGGGGTCCTTTTGGCTTTCTCCTCTACAGTAGTAATTACAAAATAGGCAGCATTTTTCAGTGTACAGTGCATGCCGGGCACATACGTTACTTCATGGAATTCGTTCAGCTACCATAAAAGTACAGACACGTTGCCTCACTTGATGCTTGGAGCAACCAAGCTTTCTTGCTGCACAATCTCACTGTATATTTCCAGCAGCCCAGTGAAACAGGTGATGTAACTGTCTGCATTTTGCAGATAAGAAAACAGGCTCAGAGAGGTTAAGTAACTTGCCCAAGGTCACACGGAGCTAGCAAATGGTGGAGCTAGGATTCAGCCTCAAGCAGTCTGACCACAGAGCTCACTTTTCTTCCCCCCCCACCCGCCGCCTTTCCTTAGCTTCCAAATGTCATCTGAGAGGTGAGTGTGGAGGAGGAATGGAAATTTTTACTCTGTGACAATGGCTCTTGAAGCCCTTGCTTTACCAGCAGCCAAGTATAAGGTTTCAACTGTTCCCTCCTCGAGGAACGACCCTGGGTCACTGTGCAGGTGGAGGAGATCCTAATCTCCCTGACCCAGAGGGCAGGCCAGCACCCAGCTTGCAGGTGGCTGTGATTCTTACGGCAGCGGTCCCTGATTGGGCACCAGATTCTCAGCCTCCAAATCTTCCCGGAGGCCTGGGAGATTGCCCTCCCAGGGGCTTAGGAAGCCCACCGAGGCCAGGCTTCCTTCCCAGGGACTTGATTCCAAAGCCTGGGCCCATGGCCCAGAAAAGCCAAGCTGCATTTCACAGGTTGGCAGGAAATGGAGACTTAGCAGGAAACAAGAGCGGCCAACAGAGAAAAATGTCACCCTTTTTTCCTTCTCTTGTCTCTGATTCATGCCTTTGAACCAGTGTTTGAAGAGGAGGGTGTTTATTTAATAAACGGCAAAGCAGTGGTACACTCTCTGGAGGTCTAGGGCACAGGGACCCCCTGCTGACTCAATACCTATAGAGTGCTAACCACAGAGGATGCACATGAACAGTGTTTCACCTGTGTTGCCTCATTTAGTCTGCACAATAACCCTGTCCAGTAGGTACATCATGGTCATCACCACCATCGTCATCACTCCCCATCATCAT